GGGAAGGTCTCCCAGATATCTTGAGCTGCTAGGACAGCTCTGATGGCTGGATCTGCAATGAGACAGCTCAGCCCTGGAAGGGAAGGTATTCTGACTGCTCAGGAGAGTCAGGCCTGGAGCTTCTAGGACAGCTCAGCATGAAAGGGTGAATTATGATATCCACACCCAAAACTCTTTTGAGAAAGAAATTTATATGGGAGGGAGTAGTCCAGGAGAGTGGCTGCCTCTACCAGGTTTAGAGAATAGCCCCCAATTGAACATGCAGGGTGCATTATATAGAATATCTTGGGGGTGGAGTCAACCAAATATTGGTTAGTTTTTTCCTCTGCTCATAGATTGGTTAGTTCTGTGGGTTAGGGGCAGAGTTGGCCTTGATCTCAGAGCCAAACTGTGTTTCTTTTACTGGCCTTTCTTGGCTTTTTGACACTAATTGCAAGGCTAGGGCATATTTCTTTGACTGACTCTGATTCTAGGGACCAAGAGTGTTTCTTTCGTATTGGTTTCAGAGTCAGGGCTTGCTTGTTAGGTTCTGGGTCTGGGGATAATTTTTCTTTCTCTGGCTCAGTTCCCAGATCAAGACTGTGCTTCTTTCCCTGATTCTGGGCTCCAGGGTCAGGTTGTGTTACTTTAACCAGCCCCCTTTCCCTATATTCATTGCAGATGTGTCAACTGGAGTTGGGTACTTTACAGTGAATTATTTGTGGAACTTTGTGAAAGTCTCCATATATTGCAAAAAGAAGCTTCTTTGATGAGGGGTGAGAACTATATTTACCTGTGTGTGTAAATATAGGTATTTAGAAAACAGCTAGAAAGTATGCTGGTTAGTTAAACTGGCAGTGGCAGGTTCACCTCTTGGATCTATGCCTAACTGCTTGTCTATATATTCTGTACCAGACATGGCTTACCTTTTGGTGAATGTGCTTTAAGTCCAATTAGACAGCCCTTGAAACCCCAAGATGAAAGTTCCACTATTTCACCATTGTGAATGTCTTGCTAGTCCAGTTATTGTTGTGGCTCCCAGACAATACATCTGGATAGGTCTAGTGATTGATCCTTTCCCTTTGAAGCTTTTCACTTTTGAAACCACTTTTCAGGAAAGAGGTTCCAGGTCACGTTCAGTTCAATTTCCCCAATTTCTATGTGTGAAGTACATCAAGACTTTAGCAAAAGAGTTGAATTTTCAAATTCTGAGACAATCGAGGGCAACATTAGCTGATACGGTTTTGGAAATCTCATGGATTACCCTGACCAATAACTTAAAAGGAGGTTTCTCTTGCATAGTACTTGAATTGCTTTCTAACTAATTATTATTATCTGATACCAAATTTTGGTGGTTTGAAACAAAATGACCAACAAATGGAGGGGTAATGTTAAGTGGTATGACTTTGATGGAGTAGGACTGGCTTTGTTGGAGGAAGTGTGACATTGTTGGGGTGGGCTTTGTGATTCCACAAATGATCAAGTTACACCCAAAGATTCAGACCACATTTTGTTGCTATTGCATAAAGATGTGAGGACTCACAGATTCAGTATTTTATCTGTCTGCTTGCTACCATTCATGCCACCATAAGAATAATGGGATAACCCTCTGAAGTGTAAACTAACCACCCTTTAAATATATTTCTTTATAGGTGTTGCTGAAGTCATTTTGCATCTTCAAAGGAATAGAAACCCTATCTAACAAACAAATCTTAATTGTGATGGGTGAAGAAACAAGATATTAGGCCTGTGAGATGTAAATATTCCATTGATTTTGTGGAAAATCTTCTCACTTATAAGAAGACCATAAAATGGGAGAGGCACAATGTAGATCAGTTGTTAAGAGTACTTCTTGTTTCTCCAAAGAACACAGATTCCATTCTTGTCACCCATATGTCACTGTCAACCATCTGTAGCTGCATTTCCAGGGAATCCAATAATCTCTCCTGGTTTCAACAGGCACCCAAAATGCAAGAGGCACACAGATAATCATGCAAGTAAAACACTCAAAAAATAAAAGTAAAATAAAATTGAAACACCTTTTAAAATAAACGAAATTAGAATTTTGACAAAATTTTACTATGGATTTTCTGTGCTAATTTAATAATATTTGTAATATTAAATTTGCCTATATGTGAAGAGTATATTGCTGGAGAGTGTCATCCCAGTTTATTTTGTTCATTTTAGGTGCTTCCTTTAAGTCTTAAATATTTACTGTAATTAATTTCACTTCTTTGTTCAGGACTGGTCCCTATAGTTTAATTTATTGTTAAGAGTATTATTTTGTTATTTTTTTCAACATGTTCATTGTTATTTTAAAAGGTCATGGATCTTGTGCTATACTTTCTTGTGGAAATTAGTGATACGGTCTAAGTGTTTTGTGGAGGAGTCCTTAGAATCTGTGATATGTGGGACCATTTTCTTTCAAACCACCACAACTTGTTCTCAGATGATAACAATTTGTTAGAAAGGAATTCAAAATGATACTCTTTTGTTATGAGATATATTCTGTAATGTTACTTTCCATTATTTCCTCAAACTGAAATCTTGAAAGGGAATCATGTGATTATTTTTCTACTCATATTCTTTATATATTTCTGTTCTTTTTTCTTTTTGTCAAGATCTTGAGTAGTGTATAAAATACAATCAATGATAAACAGGAGCTTTTACAGATATGCATAAATAAGCAGGCACTCATACATGTACTGTTATACATGCATGCATTAAAACATAAATCAAATATTATTAAAACATTGGCCAACCAATCTGTATTCATGGAGAAAACAATAAAATGCAGCAATTCCTTACATGAAAAATCTATGAGAAATCCCTCTGTGAGATGTGGGGTTTGGGAAGATCTTTTCCCATTCTGTAGGCTGTCGTTTTGTCTTGTTGACTGAGTCCTTTGCTCTACAAAAACTTCTCAGTTTCAAGAGGTCCCATTGATTGTTTCTCACAGTGTCTGTGCTACTG